GCAATTATTAATTAGTTTTATCTTTTAAATATTTACATTTTATTCATAATCAATAGGTAAGCATTTTGTAACTATTGTAAATATTCTATTGTAATTTTTTGTGAAGCGCCTTGGACAATTTTGGAGATGAGCGCTAYATAAATAAATTATATTATAATTATATTATTAATATCAAATTCAAATTTTGTACACATACAGATTGATTGGTTGACGCTAATGTTACATTACAATCAGAAGTTCAGTTAAAAAAATGGGATGTCTGCATATAAAGTGAAAAAAAATTGTCCCTGAATTTGAATATTCAAATTATCCATTAGAAAACAGAGATATGCAGTACTAATGACAACTGGCCTCCTTTCCATGTTTATCATTACCAGTCTCCCCCATCTTCCAGAAATATGAATATAGTGTATATTACCAAAAATATGTAAATAGATTTCTCAATTTTTATTTACTCAAGAATATGAATCGCTGAGAGAAAAACAGGACGATTTGTTATGGTATGAGAGGGATGATTTAGAACTTGACCCAAACTCCACCTCGAATGAAGAAACGAATGATTCTGCAGATGAAAAACTTGAAAGTATAAATGAAGATACAAAAGAACAGGAATACAATGATGAAAAGAAAAAAAAGGTAAAGCGAAAAAAAGTTATGAAGTCTAAGTCTTTTAGTGGTGAATATGTTTATCCTCTTGATCTCTGGTGCTTGTTGTCAAAATTCATTCGTCCAGAAGATGTCTTACGATTCTCTCTCGTATGTAAAGGAGCTTTTCAGGCTGTTACATTCTCTGCATTCTGGCTCCGCCTGTACAATATTTATGTCTGTGAACCAGAGAAACTTCCAGAACATTTACAGCCAAGTCGAATCGACTGTGGCACAGGGCTACGAACACGTGTGGTTCAGGCACTATTTCACCAGTATGGGGAGTTGAAAAGTAGACTCGTAACCGTAACAGGAGACAGCTCTTGTATGGATGCCTTACTGTTTTATTGGTGCTCATCAGTCTGGTTTCATCAAAAAATAAAAAAAGACACTAAGATATGGATGTTTTATTTCAAACTTTCTAGTGAGAAAACAAAAAGTTCACACACAAATCCGAGACGTTTTAGTAAAAAATGGTTCAATACAGTTGATTTTGTTCGGGATAATCCTAACGAAGGTTTTACTGTACTTGCTGTAAGTTGTCTTAATTTTATATCTTTTCAACCTGTCATTGGAATGGTTTTGACTGAAGCATTAGTGGGCGTTAGCCAAGGTATGAAGCATTGTCGTGTCAAACTTATGTTTCATAGCCATCGGAAAGACAAACGATATCGGCCAGAGAGTGGATATCAAGTAATTTTGGATCCTGTTCAAGATGTGCGCGTGCTCAAATGGTGGCATCCGCTTTATCCGACGTGATTAATCATAAGTTATCTAACGTACAGCCAGGATATGAGAAAGCTGTTAAAAATTGCATATAGTGAAATATAAATGATGAAAGAAAACAACACAAGACTTTAATTGCTCTATTTGCCGGGTTAATAGTCATTACACCCCTCAACTCTCTCCTCTCCTCTCCTCTCCTCTCCTCTCCTCTCCTTTCCTAGAATAACTAATAAATTGATGATTATGTAATTAAATGTGTTTGGGTAAAACTTGTGCTCCTATTATACCC